TCATTTCCTCGGGTTTATCTCATTAAGGGAAAACTGCCTAAACAAACGTTTTGGTTTCGCGGCGATTCGGTGAATCAGCTGTCTGCGGTATAACAATGTATGTTACTACCTAAAATCAGATTATGTGTACAGTGAACAGCACACCAGACTCTATATTTTCGTTGGAAAATAGCAGCTGTTACAACTAGATAGATACCAGTGTACAGCTTGATGTGCTGTCCTTTGTACATGAATAGATTATATTTCTGTGGTTCGGAGGCTATCCGTCGGGTTACCATAAAGTTAATATTCCTCTTCCGAAGGAAAAATTTGCTTGCCACGCCCGGGATCGAACCAATTAAAATTTGTTAAAAATTACACCCTGTATTTTTTTTGCATCCATTGTTAAGGTTCAGTGTAAGGATGAAATCTCTCTAACAAACTTGATAAATCAAATGAAAGGAAAACCATGAAATCTTAAATTATTTTAAAAAATTACAGAAAATTCTATGCTACACTATAGTAGTGAATTTTCGAAAAAAAAAAACGAAAATCTTTCTTTTTAAAAAAATAAAGGAATGTTTTCTTTGAGTAATATTTTCTATCTACAGTATTAAGGGTACTTTCCCTTCAGGTGGCATTACAAAATTCCACCCTGTATATCCATTCTTCTAAAGAATCTTATATGTCTTTCTATAGATACTCAATTATTCTAACTGAACATGTATTCCACAAAGAATACATTATTACAAACTGAACCTACTACGTCAGCCTCTACTGTAGGCACTAACATAACTCTTTCCATTTGCGGCTATTTTTAAAGTAATGAAAAACTGAAATATTCATACTTATATTTAGTGGAAGCTTTCACTCGTTGATTACAGGTCTAAATGAGTTTGCCCTTATTAACTACACGCTATCTCCATTGATTATTTTCTTTCAACAAAAGTATCATTATTTTTATGGGAAATGTTTTTTTAATCCACAACAAGGAAGCTCTTGGCCTGAATCTCATCAGGTCGAAGGTGAAAGGTTTTGGAAACTTTGTGTATTTGGTTTTTATTTCTGCGGGTAGGTGCAGTTTGGTTTGATTCCTGGCAGGGGCGAATGTTAATATGCAATTGTGCAATATGCACTAAAATTTACATTGAGTCAAATTCGTTTATGTAATATTCATTTTATACCTACGTTTATTTACTTCATTTTTTATTTATTATGCGTTATTTAATAACCCATAATGTGTAATAGCGTTGTTTGATTAAAGACTATGATTAATAGTTAAATAGTATAATCGGTGGTACTATTAAATTATTAAGTAAAGCTTCTCGATTTGGGTTCCTTTGTGGAGGCTTGTGTGAGATTATGGACTGCATACTGTAACTATTTGATTCTCGTCCAGAAATGGTACACAGAACAACCAATCTTACTTATTGAGAAATTGAATCTTCCACAGCTGATAATGCAATCCCAACTGCCAATGCAGGCGCTCGTTGTACTGCAATTGCTCAGATGTCCAACTAATGTAATAATAAACTAAACTAATAAACTAATGTAAGATAATGGGCCAACAATGGACTCGTAACTGGTTACTTGAGTTATGAATGCTGACTGCGGGCGCGGAGGATCGCTTTATAAATAGGACATTGTTAGCGGCAATAGAAAACTTTTTATAGAGTTCTTTAACGCGTAGACGTGTTGCGCAGTGATGCAGAACGAGTAAATTAGGGAAGTAGAGCTGCTATATATATACAGTATTGATATCGATACTTAGTGGCTTTAGGTTAGAAACTAACTTTGAGCCTTAACTTCACTCTTTCAAAGTTTTGTTTTGGGGACAAAAGGTAGCCTTGGATCTTGAATCCAGTTTTAATCTATCTTTATGACAACATTCAGAAGAATCAATTGTTTTAGGATTACTCGTAACAAACAAACAAATAAATTGAGTTACTTTCGTATTTATATTTAGTTATCTAGATCTAATTTGTCTTACTAATATTTAGTTTAGGATATTACGCGGATAATTTTCTCTAAATTGTAGTCCTCATCATAAACTTCTCTTACCTTACAATGCAGTTCCAAATTGCTAATCAATTAACCTTTACCCAAACATTCAACTAACATCACCAATTTTGAACGAACGCTACCACTGAGCTAACATTCCGAACGATGGGCTACCAGAGCCAACTTTGCGTTACTAAACCGACTTTGGTTGTACTAAGCCAGGCAAGCGGATCAGTATTCAGTATGCACTTGCCTGGGATGTCGGGATTTGCATACTATAAGAAAACAAAGCGCGTGCATGGCTATAAATTAAAGGCGCCGTAAACTGGGTGCCGTAGACAATCCGGTCTTTATAGATTTCCATTCAGATGTACCGTTTTGGACGAAACTTGGGTAGGTTTTTTTAAGAGGGTACGAACGAACTTTTTATTCGAGAGGTGATCTTATAGATCATCACTACAGTTTATTTTTTATTAATCTCTATTTAAGAATATGAAAAAGCCTTCTAGTAACTGCGAATCGAGACACAATAGAAATCAATGCGACCGCTTAGGGATCCCTACATCAATTTGAGAAGATAGACTTTTGATTTATATGATGACTAGCGACCCTGCTTCGCCCAGGTACAAAGTATTATACTTAAAAACCTTCGTCTTGAATCACTTTAGGCCGAGGCCGCACTCATCGCGATAACATTCGGGCGACAACCGAGCGAAGTTCTTGCGACTATGCAAAATAGGACTACACGCATCGCGATTGCTCGAATCTTCGGGTTATCGCGATGAGTGCGGCCTCGGCCTTAAAAAAACCGCATCAAAGTCCGATCTCCGAAGCGAAGCGACTTTTTTTATATTAGGTAAGTAGTGATGATGATGATGAATTTACCTAGTCTTCGTACCTAATTAGTACCTAGTATACAAGAGGTTTCTTGTATTTCTCTTCACTTTTCTCTCTATAAATAAGAGAATTCTTTGTAAGTCACAGATTGTAATCAACAAAGCGCATAATTCCAGCTCCAATCGCACCTTGATAAGTCTGTTTCCTAGCAATAAATACAATTTTACGACATCAGATCGCAGCAGAGAGATGTAATCTAATTTAAAATGTGTTTTATTGTTTGTGTTTAAATGTGTTTTAAAATGTGTGGCATTAGTTCCAACGTTAATTAAAAGTCTTGATATCCACATGAGGTGTATTTGTTCAAATAAATGTCATTACCGCTATAACTACTTCCTACAACAAAGCAAAGCACAAATTAATTAAAACTAGTAATTAGCCTGCTTACAATAATAAGAACAAATATAAATTGCCCTGTTATGGCATCGAGATATTTCCGTAACTTTATAGGTTTTGTTATTTTATCAACAGGGGGCGTTGTCACGCTGCCATAATTACTGAATTATGTTAATAAAAGCCCCTTAACTGAAATGAAGTAATTAAGGCTATCCGGCCGATTTTAATATGCCTGCACTTGTTTGCGTAGCCTCGCGGTCGAGGACTCTCCAAACTCGCCGGGTGCTCTTATAAGGGGCATAGACTTGCGTTTGTAAATACCATTAAGCAGCATGCTGGTATGCTGTGTGGCCATCTAATTATTTTTTGTACGAATATTTATGGAAATTTCTTTATGACGTGATTTTTAAAAGTCATTTAGCTGTCAGGTAATGAGTTTAAAGAGCCGTAATGCATGGGTGAAGCTTTTTGGATTGATCTAATTAAGTAGTTATAATTTTTAAAGAGGCATTAAAAAGAGGAATGTATTTAATAACGGAGCTTTTAGTGTAACATAACAACATCACTGTGGTTCGTTGTGATGTACAATCTAATACAAATTTCGTGGGTGAAGCTGCAATTAGCCGTAGCTAGAGCTGGAAATAATGTAAGAAACTAAACGTTAAACAATTTTAATATCAAATCCTTATCAAATCGACATCCTTTGGCTCAAACGGTTATCAAGCAAATCATCTTGTTTAAGTTTGTTGGCAGTTTCTTTAACAGCTGATAACCAGCCACTGGCTCCTAAAGGCCGTTCTGGTGCCAAATCACGCCACTAGGGGGCGCACTATCACAATTTTGGCTGAACAAGCAAAGCGTTTGGTTTTGATATGGTATCGGGCACGTTTTGAAGACTGCAGTAAATAGGTGCTTGTAAATATAAAAAATGAAATACATAACATACACCTAGATGTTTTCTTGGAAAAAATATGGAAAGGTAAACTTAGGTGATCTTTTGTCGCTAGAGCGGTATTTTTTAAACTACATTAAGCTGCTATTAAAAGCTTTTATTGCTTAAAAAAATATAGTAACCGTTAGTAATTTAAACGAAATATTTATTTCCAAAGAAGTAGGTAATGAAAAACAAATTACTCTACGAATTTATTCCATTAAACATTTTTAACTATTTAAAAAGACTGAAATGTTTCCAATTAACTTTTATATTTCGTCTTAATTACTCGTAAACATCGCTTAAATTGCCTGTCCCGAAAATGTAGTTTAAATGTTTCTCGGAAAAATAACGAGGATACAAGCAATTCGTACAAAATCTCTGCCATCGGCACTAATTGTTTACTCAATACATTTTTTTTTATTCATCGATCTATTATTTACGTTATGTAAACTGATGATTACCTACCTACATTGAAAATATTTTGTATAATACTACATAAAGTCAAGCTGAGAGAGTATCAAAATTTATACATCACTATAAGACTAGGCGCAGACCATCAATTTTTAGTTGGCCGATAGTTGGGCCCGATTTTAATTTGTATGAAGAATGGCCAAATCAAATCGGTGTATATGCCCATACTGATCAAATGCCCGACTATACTATCGGCCGACGCAAAATCGATAGTCTGTTACTTTACGTAACACCCGAATACACAGATATATCTGTGATATATCTTAAATATATTTAAAAAAAAATACGCTCGTGCGCATTTTCTCACACAGACGTATCTTAAAACTTCAAAAATCTATGTTTTTACTGTTCTCGTGCTCATTCTATTTTCTTTTGTTCTCAGGCTGCACGTTCCCCCCTCGCTGGCACGGGCGCTGGTTCCAGTCGGGGGTGATCCAGCCCATCATCATAGAAGGAGACCGCCTCTCCAACAAGGGGAAGTGCGTTTCTTCAGAGGGAGACAAGTTTCTGATAGTGGACGAGTGAGTATTGAAACGCTGCAGACACTTTCAATGCATGCTCAACTCTCTCTAGCACGAAAGATGGTTCCAGTCGGGGGTGATCCAGCCCATCATCATAGAGGGAGACCGCCTCTCCAACAAGGGGAAGTGCGTTTCATCAGAGGGAGACAAGTTTCTGATAGTAGACGAGTGAGTATTGAAACGCTGCAGACACTTTCAATGCATGCTCAACTCTCTCTAGCACGAAAGATGGTTCCAGTCGGGGGTGATCCAGCCCATCATCATAAAGGGAGACCGCCTCTCCAACAAGGGGAAGTGCGTTTCTTCAGAGGGAGACAAGTTTCTGATAGTGGACGAGTGAGTATTGTAGTGGCAGACACTTTTTTACAGCTTTACAGCATCATACATACAATTTAGGTATGCAATTGCATTAACCTATTTGTATAGTATCAATATCTATACATAATCAAATCAATCAATGGTAGCAGGAAGGCGCTGGATACAGGCCGCTACGAACCGAACGATGTGGAAATCATTGAGGAAGGTACGTGTTCAGTAATAGACGTTCTGTGGCTGAAATGATGATGATGATCTAATACAAACGTTCGTTTAATTCGTAATTAAAAGCAAGTGAATTATTTTCAAAATCATCCGCCAATATACTTACACATTTTTCAGTAATCTAAAATTTACACAGGACACTTCGCCATCTTTCTGACCTTTCTATGTTTGTTAATCAACCACTATACTTGCTTATTCGGGCTGAACTTGTATTTGCATGTAAAATGACAAACTTCATGATATTCTCTTTTTCAGGAAAGGCTGTTATCGCTGCGTCGTGATGCATGAAAAACATCAGAATGTCCTACAATATAAAGAAAGTGAGTACAACATACATATTAATGGTCCAGTAGCGTAATAAAAACGGAAATTGTAATGAGGAAATGCATTTGATATTTATTTTATGGAAATTTTGACTTTTGTATGGGAAAAGGTAAATATGGAGAGACAGATAGTGACCAACGAATGATAAATTGACTTAATATTTTGCTTTTTGAAATATTTTCTATATTATTGTTTTAAACAATACAAACGGTATCAAGCGCACCTCGTACCTACGTAAATATGACGTACTGGGTTTGTAATATTATGTATTAAGTTTTATGCAATACAGTTTGTTTGGTGCCAAAAGATGCAGCCATCTTTTAATAAGGTGTCAGATGGATACCAGTCTTGGCACTTTGGTTATCACCTATGCACTTGAATTATCTTTTGTTTTATGCCAAAATACATTTACTTTGATAGCACGAACACACTGCGATATTAAGGTGTTTTAAATAAGTGCGATTATATTGCAACTAGCTTTCCTCCCGCGGCTTCTCCCGCGTGGAATTTTATCTGCCACAGAAAAACTTTACCGCGCGCGTCCCTGTTTCAAAAACCGGGATAAAAACTATCCTATTTCCTTTCCCGAGACTCAAACTATCTCTATGCCAAATTTCATCAAAATCGGTTCAGTGGTTTAGGCGTGAAAGCAAGACAGACAGAGTTACTTTCGCATTTATAATATTAGTATAGATTGTACCTTGACTGTATACCCCCTAAGATACAAGCTTACTCATTGAAATTGGGTTAGTACCTACAGCTAAAAACTAAGTAAAAATTTGAGATTGTGATAGTCAATGTGCGCGTTTAAATGAAATTCCTTTCTAGACCAAAATTTTCCACCAAATTAATTGCATCCCAAAAATCCCTTGCAATTTCTCTCCTTCCCCGGGTCATTGGAACCAGCTAATAAAGGTCCAGGGTGGGTCTAGACTGGCCCGTGCGAGATTAGACTAATGGACCGGTGGCGGATGCCGGATTGAAAAATGTCCCCACCGGGCACGAGAGATTAATGGACGAACGAACTGCTGGTATGTTATTACTTGCAAGGGATTGGGTGTGGAAGCTGGTGAACTGATGTTCTAGGTTCAAGTTCTAGACACACAAATTGGTTAATGGTTTTGGTTGCTATTATTTATTCTGATTAGGTTCGAGNTTCAGATGTACCGTTTTGGACGAAACTTTGGTGGATGTTCTTAAAAGACAAACGGATTACGCCCGTATTTACAAATATTACTATGAGGTCTCACAGGGCGCGTGGACGCACAGGGTGACACACGAACCAATCACAGAGCTCTATTCAACGTTGCTGTCCGTTCGATTTGCTGCTTCACTTAAGCAAGCATTGTTTGTGAATACAGGCGTAAATAGTCGATGGTATGGGATCTTTTTATAGCCTTCTAGTGACCACGAATCGAGACACAATAGAAATAAATTGTTACGGCGGTCTCGATGCGACTGCTTAGGGTTTGATGGGAGACCTACTTTAATTTGAGAAGATGGTTTACCACATCACATCACTACTTATGGTCTTCATACCTAATTAGTACCTATACAAGAAATTTCTCGTATCTCTCTTCACTTTTCTCTCTATAAATAAGTGAATTCTTTGTAAGTCACAGATTGTAATCAACAAAACGCATTCTCCCAGCTCCAATCGCACCTAGATAAGTCTTTTTCTTAGCAATAAATACAATTTTACGACATCAGATCGCAGCAGAGAGATCTAATCTAATTTAAAATGTGTTTTATTGTTGTTGGCATTAGTTCCAACGTTAATTAAAAGTCTTGACGTCCNGGTTCGAGACTAAACAACTGTCGTGAACTTATTACAAATCTTTGATTTTGAAGTTTTCGATGGAGACGAGGTACAGGTGCCAAGACAACGCCTCTTGGGGCTTACGAGTTCTAAAATAAGTCGAACATATGAAGGTGCTACCTAATGCCTACTTACTACTATCTACCTAATACTTTAACCATACCAACGCGTGCAGATCGCCATCGCCGGCGCGATCAAAGGCCAATGACAGGTCGCGCGGACTGTCATGGGTCGCACGACCTGTCATTGGCCTTGGCAATCTGCACGCGTTTTTGTGGTTGAAGCTTTAGACGGCACAATCAGCTAAACTGGCCCTCTAAAACATGAAATTTTAGTGAGAATTATTACCACATATTTAAATTCTGTATTAGAATGTAGGGCCTTTTCAGGGCACTTCGGCCTGCATTTCCATCTTCATTCAGTCCTTATTCGAATCGAACCTTATTCCTTTAACAAACAATTTCACACGTAGAGCCGCGTGCTAGAAAATTAATATCCAGCTAACACCATAAGATTTCTACACATTTAGCACTAAATCTCATAACGGGTGGGCTGTAAATAACCCGCGTGCGTGCGCTCGATTATGAGTATCGATAAACACCATTATTATAGTCACATTAATCGAGAACGTTGATAGAAAAGCCATGAAAGTGTTACGCATTTTTCGGTAGTGTTTGATAGAGAAGAAGGATTGTTCGTCACAAAAACTATATGTGTAATTAAGGCAGGGGTGCACCATCTTACTTTAACTTTAACAAACGCCAAAAGTCTGTCAAACTCCTACAAAACAACACCAGTTGTGGATAACCACAACTGGTGTTTTTTTGTAGGAGTTTGACTATAAAGTCACGTTTAAAATAAATTGGTGCAACTCAGCTAAAAAATTGTAAGCATGGAATAGGACTATTATTTAATTAAATCGAATTGCCTAAGGTGGAAACGAACCCACGACCTACACAGTCATCCAGCAAGCGAGGGTCTTGGCTTAAATTCCTATCACATGCAATTTTTCGTTATTAAAAAACGACGTGTATTTTTACATGTTAAAAACAAGTGAATTTTACTTTGCAGTTTTTAGTGTTTCCAAAAATTTAATTTAAATAAAAAACTGTTCAGGAGGATTTATATATTACACATCAAAAACGTTTCATTGAATTGCTCTTGTGTAATATAATCCTGAATGGATTCACGAACTCCATTCATTTTATCAATCGACACCGCTTACGTTTTTTCACGGAAATTCCCGATTTCATGTTTAGTTGGCACATTTAATCTACTTAATACTAGCGGATACCCGCGACTTCCTACGCGTAGATCCCGTTTTACCTCCTTAGGGGTGGAGTTTCGTGAAATCCTTTATTAGCGGATGCCTACGACATTACATCTACCTGCATGCCAAATTTCAGCCCGACCCTTCCAGTGGTTTGGGTTGTGCGTTGATAGATCACTATGTCAGTCAGTCAGTTAGTAAGTCAGTCAGTCAGATTTTGAGAACCGACTGTACTTTTCCTTACCTTTAACATTATTAGCTTGACGTCAGCGTGTAATTTCCAGTGTAAGGGTAGACAAGGTCGCGTAAAGTTTTCTTGATCAATAAGTCAGCGAAGGTAGCTACATTATGTATGCTGAGTAATTTTGATAAAAGCTAATGAGCGTACAAGGAATAATTTTGTTGATTTTAACTAATGGATACCAATATTTATTGAATGAACTTCTGCTTAGGTACTTGTGTAAAGATACGGTTTTAAGTTTAAGTTTATGACTTTTTATTGCAAAGACCTTATACCTAAGAAAAAGTGCTGCTAAGAATCTTTTGTTTGTGTTGACAAATACAACATTAAGTAGCACCATCTTAAATGACTATCTATATCTGTTGTAATACGATCACCTAGTTTCAAGATTCTACTATTTCGTACTTATCTAGAGACGCAGCGAAACAATAATATTTAAAAATCTAATTATCAATTTGAAATTATTATCAACTGGCACTGGACCTTACTTTTACAACCTAACCCTGCCTTTATTCCCTGTAGGCTTAGCTTCAGAGAACCAGACAGTCATATTCTTTCTCTTTCTAGCTTCCCTGAAGGCCGAGAGCTTCAGATAACTAAACAGCCATATTATTTCTCTTTCCAGCATTCCTTTTCTTCCCTGAAGGCTGATGAAAATGATGGTAACTTGTTTTTTTCTTTCTCTTTCTAGCGTTCTGCTACCGCCGAGACGCACTGCCTCACCTGTGCACCCTCATCACGGGAGATGCGCTCTTGTACTCGATGTTTCGGGAGAATGCAGACCCGGTGGACTGCCCTCTGAAGGGGCCCTTCTCCTTTACTTACAACAGGTAAGTACCAACAGTCAGCGTCATATACTTCGTGACATTCAAAGTAGTCAAAAAGGTCGCAATAACGTTTGTTGTCAACTTTTTGGTCACTTTGGGTGTCACGAACTATTTGACGCTGCTGTACAATTATTAATAAGACAGTAAAGTAAGCCTACACTCCGATTTAGCTCGAGTATCTTATGAGATCATAGGGTGTCAGTTGGACCCATAGAAATAGAGGTAATCTTTATACTTAATGCGACCAACTAGAGACTTCAGAATAATATACTAAATTTTAACGTATGTTGATGTGTTCCCCATGACGTAGGCTTCAAGACTATTTTACATTTAGGTACTTGTATCACTCAACATAACTGTATTCATTTAATGTGTATTCAATTGATTTTGATCGAAAAGAGCATTTGTACCGCGAGAGGCACTTATTAGCTGGATGACAACCTATATCAAAACTCTATTTTTATTTTGAGGCAGTTACAAATGAGATCGACACTTACTTAATGAACGCCACAAATTAATTAATTAACGATGTACACTACTCAGAATTATTCCGAATGGTAATGCCACTTAAAAGCATAGACAGTCACTATTCCTTTGAGTCGCTTTTAATTACTGGAGTGACTGTCAGACAATCAAAATGATCACAGTCTACCTTTTGGCACTATGTCTATTGTTATTTTGGTAATATTTGTTGTCAAACTGACGAGCACAATTAATATCATAGTCAAGCATCAAAGAAAAACACTACCTACACCAGTTTTTCTACTCAGCATTGGTCTTCATGATTAAAGTCTCGAAGCTTTGGTAGGGCCAATTTAAAAAAGCTACAAGATTTTTTGTAACAATTTGTTGCTCAAATCCAGGCTAACCCAGGCTTTATTTGTGATACACAGGAAAAGTATTAATTGTTGAGTAATCATCATCATTTCAGCCACAGGACGTCCACTGCTGTACATAGAACGTCCTTAATTATTTCCACATCGCCCGGTTGGTAGCGGAGCTGCATCCCGCGCCTTCTAACCTTTATAAGGTCGTCGGTCTCCCTTTCTACACTTTGTGTAAATTGTCGAACACCATACACCTGATCACGCAACTGTTCCGAGGAGGCTACAGCGAGCCTTAGAGCCTAAATAGCTCTTAAAATGTCTGGAGTTAAGAAGGGAGTTAAACGATTATGAAAGCTTTTAAAGAGAAACTACCCCATGAGGGTACCGCTGACCCCGGAGAATCCCTCTCTGGGCTTGAGTCAGACCGACCTGACCCAAGCCCAGGCTGCCCCTCGTATTCTGGTAAACTTTGCTTACCTAATTGTTGAACACAAATGAAAACATACAGATTAAATTAATTTATGAGTTTTTATTTAAAAAAAACGGCACAAATATTATTTAAATTACTGTCGAACTTGCCATCAGAGTTCATACGATCAGTTTTGCCTAAGAACAGTCTGGAGTTATAATTACCTCTTCAAGTGTCGTCCGGCGACTTTATTGCCGGAGCCATCTGTCGTGTGCCGTTTAATTTCACGTCAAATTTGGCGTCCGTCAATTTGGAACTGTTCGAGGGAAATTAATTAGCAGTAATCTATGGTTCAGTGATATTCGGTGAATTACATGCAATGTGATAATGTCAATGCCCGGTCGAGGCTAGTGCTTGTGTGTTAACAATCTTGAACTTTATATCAGTGTAAATTGGACTGTAACTACAACCTGTGCTACTACTTACATCATGTTATTATGGTCCAATAAGTACTTAGCTTTCAAACAGGTAGGTTTATCAGAATCATATTGAAATAAACGATCATTGAATTACGATCGTAAGTTGACATTTATGATGGACAAACTTAGCTAGAATTGCCAGCCACATTAAATTGTTGCAAAACAAGTTTATTAAATTAAACCATCGGGTCATTTAGTAACTGATATAAATGAAACACACCGATCGCTTTGAACTCGAGTTTATTACTAAACGATGACAGCGACACAGACATCAACTTTTGTTACTACGAGTACTATGTAGGTAGGTTCTATATATTATGCGCGTAGACGCGCATACACATCAGTAACCCTATGGGAACACGGCCTTCCCTAATTTACTAGAGCTAAATGAAGGATCCGGATTACACCTCTCACGTTTGGAGAAGCATATTTTGTCAATTAGTTTCTTTTTACGACAACCACGGGAAAAGTGGGATCTATTCCTGGGTCACGTTCTCTCTGCCAGAACCTCATGACCAAGTTTACTCACATACACAATAGGCTAAATTTCTAATTATTTAATGATTTATTTATTCTCGCTGCAGGGGCCATGGCGACTGCAAAAGCCCGGTGTCCTCGATCGAGAGCTGCACTGAGGACTCGAGGCTACTCCTCAACTATCAAGCCTGCCCTGACGTGCACGGTTCTGAGAGCACCGGTAAGTTTGCGACTTAAATTCAAAGATAGCTACCGGAAAATTAACTATTGATGCGCGTAAATATAGCGTATTTGCCAACGGATTTAAATGGACAGAGCGTTGTTCAAAAAACCAAAATCAAAGGTATCAAAAAAGTTTGTAGTGTAAGCTAGATCATAGAACATGAATAAGACATTCATGTCTAGTAGGTAACAAACGTTAAAAATCTAAACAGCTGTAGAGCTAGTGCACCTAAATATTGGTTAGAGTTTAGACGATAGTTGCATTTTAATGCCTGCTGTTAAATAACGTAGCGCAACCCTAATCTTGAATCGAAATCTAACACTCGCACACACCTTTACATTTTTTACCTACTAAAGGTATTTTTGTCTTAAAACACCAAAAAATTACCACACAGGTTTGAACTTGAATGTCTCGTACGTAGCTAAACAAAGGACTTAAATCCGATGCATTTGCCAATTAGGATCTTGGGCATGTAGAGTCGCGACTAAATCAATACACATTAACTCCTCCGAGAACACCCTTTATTTTCTCCTTTCGTCTACGCCGTTTCTATTATCGGTTAGTAATTTAAGGCCAGAGTCACTTGTGGAATCCGTCTACCCGTTACAAATCAGCAGGTTTAGCTTAGACAATCAATATAGCTAACGATTCTATTTTTGGAAGCGCGAAGTTAATTCCGAATGCAGTATGGGACACGTCTAGACGTATGGTATTTGCAGGATTAGTTATAGTTAATTACTCGAAATAATTCACTTCGCAGTTTATTTCGGAAGTGAAAATACTCAATTCTACTAAGTGTAAGCAATTATTTACGTTAGCAAACGACGTGATAAAAGTGTACCTAATGCTGAACGACATCTCGTACCCATTATTATATTTTTATTTTATACCAAACAATAGATTTTTTGGTTTACGTACGGCAAAAACTTCTTTTAGTACTTTCCAAAAGAAGAGTCGCTTTTTTTAGTGTAATTTTTGTATCCTTCTCTAAGTTTTCTATTCTCGTCTGACAGAGACAAAGGATTATCAATTTTTTATATATTTAAAGTATATACCTAATTCTGGATCTAATTGTATTTATAAAACAACCATAGCATAGCCCTAATAGACAACTGTACCTACATCAAAGAAAATCACAAAGACGATTCGTAGCCATGCTGTCAGAAACTGTCCATAACCTTTAAAAAATTTAATCGAATTTTTCAGTGGAGGAACTGGAGTGCCTAGCAACGTGGAAGGAGGGCAGCCTGAGGTTCCTGGTGGGCAAACTGCACCACAACCACGCGACCAGCAACGAGGACCGCTACCGCTGCTTCGTCTACGAGAAGACAAATGGTATTGGTAAGACTAATATACAGAATTTAGATGGACACCAGGTCACTATTTGCGAGCAAAGCATCGCCTTTTGTTAATTTGAAATACCTGGTTAAAAAAATGAAATTTTTACCCTTACTGGTTACAGGTACTCCATAGTTCTTAAATTCTGCTTTAGTTTCACCATTCTCTTGGTAGATTGATTCCTCAAAATGGAGGCTTCCGGCGACTGGGACCGCAATTAACTAGGACCGCGGTCCCAGTCGCCGGATCCATAAAAAAATATTTTTCTTCCGGCGACTGGGACCACTTATAGATAACTTACTTAAAAAAAAATATTATTCAATCCAAAATCGGTACAGTACTAAAATCCATGAGTGGTCCCAGTCGCCGGAAGAAAATTATTAAATTTTTACGCATCCGGCGACTGGGACCGCGGTCCCAGTTAATTGCGGTCCCAGTTGACGGAATCCTCATAAAATGAATCTAATGACTGACGAAACCTTCACTGGTTTGGTTTTTAACGGAGATCACACAGTCACTGTAGATCCTGACTGCAGAAATTGCAGCAACAGGAATGAAACGTGGGAAAGTTTGATGGTTACAGAAGGCCCATATTCATCAATTTAAATATTCATGTACCTATTGATTTTTTATTGTCCCTTATTATAAAACCAGACCATTTTCAGTAAATATTTACGAAAATCTTGCGCATTAGGTTTGGTACGTCAGATGTAAATTGACGATGTATTCTTCATTTCCAGCATCAGGAAGTGCAGCTAAAGATGGCCCCAGCGCCCCTGGTGGCGTGGAGTACAGAGTGGCCCAATCCGGTGACGCGACCTGCAACGGCCTGTTCAGCGCCACTGAAGGCTCCAGGACTATGGCTTTGAAGCGAGGTACCAATTATAATAATAACTAACACCTACCAGAAAATTCCATTGGGTACCTACCTAAGTTGATATGTACTTAGAAATACCTATACTTACCTACCAGAAAATTCCATAGGGTTGACCTACTTAAAAAATAGTAATTGCATACTTGATACCACTAATCAATGGATATGTCGCAGCTTAATTGACCGTTTAATTAACAGCCTAGCCATTTTACTAGCCGCCGCCATTCTAGTGGCCTAAAAATAACTATAGCCTGAATATTCAGCCGTAGTGTCTAATTTAAAAGAACCTGCTGACTCATGCTTAGAATGTGTACCTAAACAATAGAAAAACAATGAGGCAAGACAATGCAACTAGTGTATAAATTCTGTATTAATAACAACAGTAGGTATGACTTCGCTTTTTAACACCTGAAATACGAGTACAGTAATATTTTGTGTCTTTTGGATGTTTATTGATACCGAAAAAAACAGCAATGCAATCTTGCTCTGTCTTATAATATTCTTACTTGTTTTATAGTAAATTTCCCCCTCGTATTTTATCCACAGACATCAAGCATGACACATGAATAACCAAAATTCTATTTCCAGTATCAGTTCGCTTCAACTGCCAGTTCCCGTCCTGGATGACGTTCTCGCACACGTGGCACACGCTAGACTTCAGCAGCAACTACACGTTCTACCAGCGGAACGCGACGCTACGGATCAGCAACCAGACCGGTGCTGATATTAAAGTCTACTGTGTGAATGTGAAGGCCAGCTCGCCCAGTGGAAACTCGGTGGCTTTGGTCGCGCATTGGCAGCACCATTGGTAAGTTGGACTCCACCATTTCAGCCTCGTCACGTTCTACCAGCGGAACGCGACGCTACGGATCAGCAACCAGACTGGCGCTGATATCAAAGTCTACTGCGTGAATGTGAAGGCCAGCTCGCCCAGTGGAAACTCGGTGGCTTTGGTCTTTTTTCGGCGTATAGGTAATACCTCAAGGGTGGTCCCATTTAAATTTAATAATAGAAAAAACAACCCCCAAGGGTGGAAAATTGGGGATGAACTTTTTTATACGCAATATCTCCGCCGATTATAAATCAATTTGAACGATTATTTTTTTGTTGAATAGGTATTATCAAAAGGGTGGTTTCATGCGAATTTGAAGAAAATATTTCACCCCCAAGGGTGGAAAATTGGGGATGAACTTTTTTATACGCAATATTTTCAATTTTTAGTTTTTTTTTGTGTTCACGCATTTGAAGTCGGTTTTATTTTTTTTAAAAGTTAATGAAGTATAACTATTAACAGATTATACAAATTCTGTGAATTAGTGTTGCAACTAGGATTCCCAGTTTTAGGTTTTAATCGAGTTTACAAGTTGAGTTCTACTAGTCCTATAATACTAGCACAAATTTTCTTAGCTAAGTTCGCTCTATTAGACATGGGTTACTCGTAAGATTTGTAAATGGATTGACTTCTTTTTAATTTAGGTTCCCTGAGTATCACTTTCCTGTATTAAGTGATAGATTTATTATTATATACCTGCTTGCATAAACGCTCAAAGTGAGCGAAAAAACTATACATAAAACTGTTTGTGGTCGCAGTGTCACACGCACCACATTGGCTCTCGCTTTTTTCATCCAGTGACTGTTAGCAACCTTTTTCCATCGAAGATATATGTGTGGTGTACAAAAGAAGTGTCTATACCTATCTGTCCCATTGTTGCAGCGTGTCCCGCTACGTCTGCGTGGTGCTGTACCGGCGGGACACGTACATAGCTGAGTTGCAGCGAGGCGCGCCCACCGCGAGACCCGACGAGGCGTGCTCGCCGCACCACTTCAATGCCGTCACGGCGCCCTACGTCACGCTAGTTGGTACGTAACTTGTGTCTTGTCCCGCTACTAACTTAGACGAAAACTTGTACATGCTGCTAGAGAAGCTCAACGATGTAGTTAATAATTTGGAGCTGTTACTGATCATGGATTAAATTCTCAAAATATACCTATCCGGAAAAATCGCCTTTTAGTGTTTGAAGCTTCGCAGACTTCAATAATTTAATTTATCTACAACATGGAAGCTCTCGGCCTGAATCTCACCTGATGGAAAGTGAGGATTAGGCCGAAGGTGGCAGCGAGCTTCGCACGGAATTCTCAACAACAGAGGAACTGGCTGTCTTACCTTCATCTGCCATAAAGTACATCCTATGAATTCCTAAGAGCAGTAGTCCCGACTTATCATGTTGATGACTAAATAATCCGGTTTTTCTTAAGTAAATAAATAAATATCCTTAGACATTTTACACTGCGCTTTTAGTAAGTATTGAAATACTTACGTAAACATTGATCTAATATTCGTTAGTTAAAGCTCGATTATATTATTATGTATTCAATGTTTTTCTTTTTCTTTCCAGCAAGCAATCCAGAATCGAAAGAGTGCCCTTACCCTGGAAAATACAGCATCCAGAATAGCAGACAGCAACGCGATGTGCGCTCCCTCGACAGGATACACAGGAGCAAACGGGAGTCGATCCTGGAACGTAGGGTTAACGGGACGAGACTGTTCAACTTTAACGTAAGGAACATGTCGGAAGAGGCCATCTTGAGAAGTCGGAGGCAGGCGGAGGATTACGCGTGTTCAAGCAGCTATAGCAGACTGGAGGTCGGCTGTAACTCCGCTAAGAATATGGAGTTCTATTCCACTTGTGAGAATAGGGAGTTAGTTACAGGTGAGAAAATTTATTAAACATTTTAGTGACCTTTCCTACTGCAGTCATCTTTGTTCTGCAGTAGACGTCTTTCATTTAAAACCCTATGAGGAGCCATTTGCTTACCTGTAGTCCTGCATTGAGCGCGGTGAGGAAGACGGTGGGCGGGAGTTTACATCGTGCGGTCCACACAGCTTATGACCGCAGTCTGTGGAGGAACACTATCTGTGGTCGCGATCCTCATCAGTGAGGGACCGAGGAAGAAGAAGAAGTCCTGCATTGCTTGCATCCAGGAGTCTCCTTTTCATTAATTTATTTTCGTGTTATTGTATTCCATTTTCTTTCTCTATTTAGTTGAATTTTCACTAACATTTTCTAGCAAGATTCTTTGGAATAAAAATATCTTCAAAATCTTTCAGCGTATACGTGCCACGGCGGCTGGTACGAGAATGGCGTCTCATTCGTAGTGACGACGCCGGTAACGCGCGACAGTACCGCAGCGCGGCGCTACTGCTTCGTGTCCCAAGACACGCGCGGGGGGGCGCTGGGTGTAGCGCGCTCGCCGAACAACTGCGAGAGAGGGGCGCATCAGTCTATGGTCTTCGACGCCACTGCTACTGGTTAGTGAACCTTCTTACTTCTTTAATAAAGTCGCAAATGCGTCCAAGATGCGCGAGTCTCCATCACAACACGGTGCTAAACGCTTTGTAAAAGAACAAGCGCAGGAGAACTGTGGAAATAGCGCGCTCACCTAAAAAGTGACAAAGAGGGGTACATGTGTCTAAATATTCAACACCGCTGGATCTGATTAATAAACCTTTTATTACTTACTAAATACTTCAGGTGCTTATTTGTAGGTAGAGTACGTCCGTACTGAGACGCCACTGTTCTATTGCTATTTATAATCTGATTCATTTTTTCTATTTATTGCAGGTGAATGCCACGATCAAAGCAACGGCCAGCCCCTAATCATAATATCATTACCACTCGTAGTGTCCACCACGATGATCACCCTCCACTACATCATCCCGAGATGATTCCCAGCGCACGCCCCTAGCCCCACCCTGTAATATAGCTATATCTTAGGCCGACGTAGGAACAAATGTAGAACAAACAATTTTACTTCGTAAGTACCTCGTAATTTAATTTAAGTTGATCGACTTGTTACATTTTCTACATTTATTTCCATGTAAAATATTTAATAGTTAAACTAAACATACAACACTATATCATAGATAGTCCCAATCGCCTAAATTTCAATTACGCTAGTAAACCAGTATTTACGATTGCGCTATTATTTTCATAATAGATAAAGTGTATATTTTTGTATATGTTACGGCTAAATTAAAAGTACCAGATCCTGTGCTGACTCTTACAAACTATGATTAGGTTAATTAGAACTGTTACTTCGCACGTTAGCTGGTTTATGAGCTGAATGGTATTTCTACATGCGCTGAGATGCGGTGCGACAACAAAATGGCCGCAGATATTCTTCGCGCCATTTTCTTTTACGCACCAGATAACAACACAACTTACCTAGCTCCATTTTATCCGTAAAATATACGACTTATCTAGATAAAAAAATAAATTTTCAAATAATAGTACTAAGTCTTATACTCAGCACAAATATTTGATCATGTACCTCTATCTACAAAAATATTTCATTAACTAATTTTAGTGCACTCTTGCCTTCGAAGACGGTTTTTTCGCTTTGAAGGAAGCGTGATTAAAATTATTTCTGTCCTATGTAAGTGGATCAAGGAAAAGGCATTTAAGTAGTTTTTCTTTATCTAATTAAGTAAATAAAGAAGTTATAAAGCGAGGTTTCAGACAACTTATCAGTGTCCACTAATTGATTACGTAATACGTAATTATTAATAACAACATAACCGATTTCTTGCCTTCTTATAATAAACTAGCTTTCCGCCCGCGGCTTCGCCCGCGTGGAATTTTGTCTGTCACAGAAAAACTTTATCGCGCGCGTCCCTGTTTCAAAAACCGGGATAAAAACTATCCTATGTTCTTTTCCGGGACTCAAACTATCTCTATGCCAAATTTCATCAAAATCGGTTGCGAGGTTTAAGCGGGAAAGCGTAACAGACAGACAGACAGACAGACAGAGTTACTTTCGCATTTATAATATTAGTTGGGATAGTCTATTCAAAGTTCAAACGAATGTGGAAATGCATGAATTGTGAAAGACGCAATAAATCTGATTTTACACAAATGAATAGATTGCTATAATGTTATAGTCAGTCTGTAGCGCGTTTGCCGAATGAAATATCATTTTAGTAGCGCTTCTAAAGAGCGCGCTAGAGAGGGGATTCTAAGCTATGCACAAAAATATTTTTCGTTATTAGGGTTCCTTGACTCACTTGTACGGGATACATGTATAGATAAATAAACCTTAGACTAGCACAAATGTGTATATGCCTTAATACACACCATCGAATAGATTTCAATTAATAATACAGTATAATAAATTATTATTTAACGAGCTTTTTGAAACAAAATGTACATGACCGATTTCATATATCAAGAGAGGGTTCCGTATTTCATTTAAAAACTTGTTTGGTTTCGCAAGTTAACCGTAATATAAAAATATTAGCAAATGTAAGTTACACAACATTATTTAATGATAATTCGCGTGAAAGTGAAGTATAAATTAATTCCTTGACTGAAGGTGCCAGCTCTTGCAAAGTTTCGTATCATTAACTTTTACTCATATGTACNTTTACTCATAATAAAATTTAATTAATTATGTAAGATGTAAAACATTTCATTCAAACACTTTTACTTGGTGTTCTTTAAAACCAATTTTATTTTTAAGCCTTAGAGTCAGTCTGAAAGACTTCAATCTTCTTGAAAGGCTTCAATCTTCTTAAAACGGATTACTTACTTACCAGGTTGATTTAAAAAAAGGCTCAAATAAGTATCTTCTTTATAAGACAGAAAACTGTATAAGTGTATCAGATACTGGCCCGAAGATCCGCGACTCAAGAACAATAACTTAAAATTATTGTAATTAAATAAAAAAAATAGAAATCTCATAAATTAAGTACGGAACCCTTATGAGTTTACGTTTATTTAAGAATGAGGTCTGTAGTCTAAGGTCGAAATCATTTGATATAGTCGACGAAGGTTGATAGTCGGTCAGAATGGTTGTGAGTAAATGTTCTTGTTGCAACAGTTTTATAGAGAAGTTTGAAGCACTATTTAGTAGAAAGTTAATAATACGTTCTCAAGTATTTTGTTAATTCTATGCATTTATTTCTCACAGAACTGTGATGTGCAGTTTTAGTAGTAAGTAGGAAGTATCCTACAAGGAGTACCTTTTGCAATGTTTTTACTGTGTTTATCTATAGGATTATCTTTTATTTTAATCTAACTGCGAAAGAAATAAATGTGTACAAAACTATTGTAACATGTTGATGAGTAGTTAGTATAATTTAGTGGCTAATTTAGTTGTTTAATTTTATTTATATCCCGAAAAAATTAGAAAAGATAGGCACCTAATTATTTTATCCCAATTTTTTTGTATATTCGATGTCATTCAGTTGTTTTGTATAGATCTGAGTTTCACAGTGTGTACAGTCCGCAAAACAATCTGAAACTTAAAACAAATTTTAGGATAATGTTTAGATATTTTTTGCTGACTGTATCTGCGGGTAGGTTATTGTTACGCGCGCCATCTAATGGCCGCTCCTATGAAACTTTGTTACAACATAATTCTCGGGAAAGCTACGTTTTCCCTAATCAAGCAATACTAATATGGATAAGTTAGTTAAGTCTAAATTTAGATAAGCGAAAGAACGAATACTCATTTTGAGATCAATGTATAATGTAGTTAAGATCAAATTAGTTATAAAATCGCGACAGCAATAATTTATATATATTTGTATTTATAGCTATTGAGCGTTAAATTTTTAATAGTTATTTAGTCAGTTGTGAATAATGATTGAGCTAGCAGTTGTTATTTTATACTTAATGAGACAGAGATTATTTCTTGGTGGACGTGACTGGGCAACAGTCGCTACTCTGCAATACAATATTCAACTTTAGGTGGTTAAAAGTCTTCTTCAGACAACCTGGTATGCTGATGAGAGTAACAGAGAAAATCAAATCCAAATCGAAATAAATCTGAATTGTTTTGCAGGGTAGACGCCTGATGTCCCGAGCATAGACACGATTTCGACTGGGCATATACATCATAGTTATGTTCCACTGTGTGATATAGATACATTAAACTAATTAAGTACATAGTCGTCAGCATGGATTATAATAAACAGCGAAAATTTTATTGCGTTTTCATTTAACCTAGCACCTTTTTATTAATATTATTTCCANTACTAGCTTTCCGCCCGCGGCTTCGCCCGCGTGGAATTTCGTCTGTCACAGAAAAACTTTATCGCGCGCGTCCCTGTTTCAAAAACCGGGATAAAAACTATCCTATGTTCTTTCCCGGGACTCAAACTATCTCTATGCCAAATTTCATCAAAATCGGTTGCGAGGTTTAAGCGGGAATGCGTAACAGACAGACAGACAGACAGACAGAGTTACTTTCGCATTTATAATATTAGTTGGGAAGTTGGGATTTCCAGATTTTGGATGTCTATCCGTTTGTAGATTGAACAGATATTTTAAATAACCAGATACTTACAGACCTACTTAAAATGTGTTTCATTTTACTTTGTAAGTGCTCGAAACGAAACCAATGACTACTTTTGAGCTACATACTTTTTTACCCAGAACTTTTGCCCATAACCATACTGTTCCTTACAAACCTCACCGAAATGAGTCTTTTTATTTTTTATACAGTATGAATTAAAAAAACACTAATTAAAAAATACCTTAAAGCTAAAACAGCAGCTAAAAAAAAAGTAGCTTAGTACAAATACGGTTTTTAACGAATAAAAAAATACCGTTACAATAACGTTATCAAATAACCGGTAATATTTTTTAAGTGAACGCATTATAGTACTACCAACCGTATAAAACGAAAAAAGTACTACCAACATTGCTGTCAGTAATGTCATGTGTCGTAAAGTTGGTGGTTGGTGTTGCTTGGCTTGCTTGCTTTCTTTACTTTGCTTGTACGCGCGTCGTCGGTCATTTGGATTGTTTATCTGAAAGAACACTTACCCGCATGACATACCAATTTGAAAAATAAACTCTAGTGCTCGCAACAAATACAAAGAAACTATAAACCGTGCCAACAATTCGTGGATGTACAGAAATATGTGAAAGTGACAGTCGCAAATCGACTTCGTTTTTTGTGTGATTATAATGTTATTTCGCATATTTTCAAGTACCGCCAGTTAATATTGTTTAGTGGACACCAGAAATGTTACAGTTGCGGTATCTTTCGTGTATAGAGGACACCTGAGCGTCGTCATTATGTACGATGCGGGATAGACGGGAAGTATAACGTTGCCATCAGGTCGAACTTGGGTATAATGCAACACGAGTGCTTGCCGGACGGGGCCAGGAGCAGGTACGAGCGGCGGAAGCCGACGAAGGTGCTGAAGATAGCGGAGAGTTTCACGAACTTGGATGAGACGGCGAAGGCGGGCCGTTACGTGCGGGGTCCCCATTCGAAACTCGGGCGCAGATTCCGTGACCAGGAGAATGGCGGGAGGACTAGACGCGCAGTGTGTTGTGATGATGATGATTGTGATAAGGAGTCCAGTGTTAGTGAGGAGTCGGAGAGACTCGGTGACCGGAGGGTGACGGGCTCGTCGTGCACGGCACTGCGGACGGCCGTGGCTGCTCTGTACCCCTTCGACGACTTCATCCTGGAGAAGGTTGGCTCCGGCTTCTTCTCAGAAGTTTTCAAAGTAAGTGGCACTATATTTTCTATTTTCTGATGCTTTCAGTATCATGTCGAGGGATATTAAAAATATGTTCTTAGTTATTCCAATTAGAACTTCTAATTGGAAAACTCAAATTATCAGCCATTCTATACTAATATTCTAATATTAATATGTAATAGTAAAATCCTTGGAAGTTTCAATAAATTTGTTTCAAATGCAATTTCTTTAATATACTTGAATTTATAGCAGCGGAATATCAAGCTATTGAAATTATGTAATTAAATGTTAACCTCATTTGGCAGTTATTAATTAATTTCCAATTGGTGTAGGTATTTCACTTCATTGTTTGATAACCAGCATTAAATTATGTTCTTTTTAATCAACTTCCTTATATAAAATACTTCACATTAATAAGCAGATAATTGTCACACACAAATCACATTAAATTAATGCCACAATAGCATTCAAAATGCCAAATGTCCGATATTACATAGCTGTAAATATTTCCAATTATAACATCCTCATATTTGGCACAACTTCATTTTCTCGAGTAATTAATTTTAATTTCTAACCATCACAATTTCACCAACAAAATTGGCACTGCGCCTTGTGTTAATTTTGAATGAGCGTTTTACCTGGGTATTTTCTGTGCAATGGATATTGAAAGTGTTTAAATTTATTATTATTTATTTGGCCTTTGCCCATGACATTGCACATGCAAGAGATTAAAGGCAATAACCTTGAATTATCTTGAAACCATGAATACCAATTTACGTTTGATATTATGTACCTACTCTGTGTAATGCATTCCTGATGTCATTCCATACGTATGCCAATCAATGAATGAATGTGGTATTCAATTCTATTGCTTCTGTTTAACTTATCAGCTCCACAGTCATAACATAGTTAGAAAGAGACCTATTTATAGTCAAAATAGCTATGATTCTAGTCTGATTTTTCAGTACCTCTTTAACGTTTACCAAAGAATAATTTTCACACATTTTGATAAACAATTTGCAAATAAAAAATGCCTGTAGCGAGTAAAATGCTTTAGATGAGTACCTAGTTGTGATTGTGTAATATTTTTAGTAAACTTTTGGCACAACATCAGCACTTTTTTTGCTGGTTTATTTGAATAGGATTATGTAATATTTTGTGATAAATAAGAATGAAGATGTAAATGCTCTAATATTTAAGAAATTAAAATTTTTAGGAATAAATACTAATGCATGTAAGCCCAAACACAACTTAACTAATCTTTTAAATTCAGTTATTACTTTATTATTATTTTTCAAGAAATATGAAGCAATTTAGCATTATTAGCAAGATTGCTACCATTCGTAACGCATCGCTAAATGTGTTTGTGGCAAATGTTTTGTTAGCACAAGTGACATCGAAGAAAAGCATGTTTCAACGCTGACATCATTTGTTAATTATTCATACATGACTGAAGGAATTTTATTTATTATATGAAATAAAATTTCTGTTAACAATAAAATTGATGACTAACTATTTAGTTTCTTATCATTGTTACAAATATTATTTAATTAACGCAAAAATATTAATTTTACGTATTAATTTCAAAATGTATAAAGTTTAAAAATAATTAACTCATTTAAAATAATTTCAAAAGTATTAAAATATTTCTACTAGATTAATTAATTCAGTACCAATTATTGATAAACAAACCATTAGCAATAACTCAAAATAATCGGCCATTAAATTAAACTATCTACTGTCCATCTTTGGGTAAATCGTTGTTTAAAAAATGGGTAAGTTTGATGTTTTTAATTAATTGTAGTACAACCGCGCCCAAATGCCCCCTCGGGCCTTGGCGGGCCCTCAAACTGGGACAAATCAGGGAAGCCCGGCCGCCCTTGCCACGCCTCCACGAATTTAGGAAATCTCACGACGACACAAACGTAAAATAACATAAACGAACGCATTTTGTACTGATATACCTATTCAGTTCTTTAAGCCTAATGCGTAAAAAGAACTATATTAATTTATTTTTCCGTTTTCTATGTCATGCAAATGACGATGAGTTTAAACGATGAAAAAATCGAATTGATGAAGTCGTAATCGTATAGCCAAGTTTTTATGGCTTTGCACGGGAATTCCCCTTTTCTACGACACTCAAGGGTGCGTTTCTGTCAAACAAGATTCAAATTATTCTGATTATAATCAAAATGATTAAGGGTGGATTCGACCAAACAAGAGTAAAATATTAATCTCAGCATAAACTTGTCGTTTTGACATATTTCCTATCATACTGTCAATGTGCCAGTTATACCAAGAGTTATTCTCGGATAAAAGTCTGGTCGAATCGGGCCTTAAGATCATAGTTTCGTATCGGTGGCCAAGCCCAGCGTTACATGCCACTTCCAATCATCTTTAAAAATCTCCAAACTCACACTTTCAATCAACACGCAATGATCTTACAAGAAAGTAAGTGATTGATGTCAAAATAAATTTTATTTCTTACATTAGCATCTTTTTTCGAGTCACTATAAAAACTCGGCGGCGCTGTCTCAAAATCTTCGCAAATGATCATAATTCAGCTAATTTTGCTAATTTATCACACCCGTCTTCGCGAAATACGCGACAAAAACTGTCTATTGGTGCGACACCAAAACTGTCGTCACGGAATGATCTCAATTAGCAACTACATATTGCATTGATTAATTCGCACATATTGGCTGCCAAAATTACTTGGAGTCAATTCCTTTTATTTCTCTTAGAACATCTCCTGTTTGATAGTTTCGTAGGCTTACCTTGACTTCGTACCTACTTGGTTATATTCCTCGAGGTAAACTGCGGAGGTCTGGGGCACGTGTTTGTTACATTTTCGGGGAAAATCTTTATTATGATTGAGCGGAAAAGTTAGGCTTTCCTTTTGTTGGATATTTATAACCCGTCCTTTTCTTATCATTCTGGAAAAGCTATATTTAATTAAGAAGTTAATATTTTCTCGGTAATGGATTAAGATTATTCATAAGTCTGACTGTAAATGATATAAAATGTGATACATCGATTCACGTGGCGTGTTGAAAAGTTTCAGAGACACCTGTCGGTCTCGTAATAAATTGTAAAAGAAAGTATTTAGCGTTAAGAGTTTCCAATTATATCGTCATCAAGCTGTGGAATCTTTCGGAGTAGACAACATGGATCCAAGATATGTTGCGTCATTTGTGATGCGATGCAATCCCAGCAAGTAATTTACGTATGCAAAAGGTTTCCATTAAACGATCTGTTAACATGGACACCATCGGCATATAAACGAGGCAGGTGACTCGGCCGAAACCTAATGTGATGATAAATTTCCTGCCGACCTCACCAAGGAAATGTCCTCAGGAAATTCGCTAGGATGTGTCTTAAGAGCCCATTGTTGTACAAGGCTGTTAACGTGTGGATTTGGAAACGTTCTGCGAATGTTTTTATGTTGATGACCTCCGGTCTTATGATAAGGAAAGGAAATTATTGCTACATATTGACGCGCCCGAGTGTAATTTTGTCAGTAAATCCGTAAAAACTTTAAATCAAACAAATACTTATCTGCTATTTAAACCGATTTTGAAGAATCTATATGAAGAAAAAATAAGAATGAAGGAACAAAATTTCGGAAAAATAGAGGTGCAAAACACACATGGTACACGAAATATACATATTTGTTCGAATATTTACTACTTTGTCTTTGAGGATTATAGAAGGTTATTCATTTATGTAATACGTGACTCATTTTGTTCCTTTCATATCAATGCGCAATACGCAATACTTACCGAAATAAACAAAAGTGGCGCAATAGGCAATATCGTAGATGTATGCATAGGCACTAAAACTAGACGTTACACAAATCGAAGTTAGCATTTAAGTCTATGTCTAAGAACATAAAATCTTGTAAACAAATAACATTATGTCGAACGCCGATTTATATGCAAAATTTGCTGGTCTTTGAAAACATTTGCGAAAGGCTTGCACAAAGCATGCATTAAAATGCACGGTCGTGTAGATTCCACCAGAATTTAAATGTTAGGGGGCAAAATTTAATTTGCAATCAATTGTCGTCGCCTTACTTCGATTGAGGCCAGAATTTACACAATTTACCCAAAAACAAATTATTATCATCACCATCGTACATAATTTGATATCGTACCTATGACCACAGAATAATAATAAGTACTACGTACAGAAGTTTTACTTCGCGAAGGTATTTAAAAAAATCTATGCTCAATGTCATTAACAATATGGTGTAATTTAGCCTGTCTCAAGAGTCGAGCACCATTTTGTTGACAAACGTCAGTGATCGGCACTGCGCCGAAGCTATAGGGCTGACTTCGGTAAAATGATGTGACGTGAGGTGCCAAACTGCGGAAAATGGCGGAGGAAATACATGATTTAGCATGAATTATCATGAATAATAAACCTACTTATTTACTTCTCAGTGTCTTGAGGCAACTTAAAAAAGTACATTCTGTGTTTTTATTATTATTTACGCAGTTAAATACTGCACAGTATTTAGTACACCATTTTCTTTATTTTCTTCCATCATACACAAGAATATGCGTGCGTGGGTCAATGTTCGCTCGTATGTGAGGCCTTGTCGAATAGAATCCTGTAGGTGGGCCATCGTGCGTGTTTTGTTTTCGATGTAAACTCGCGGAGATGAACAGGCCTGCTATGACTAAGAAGTAAGAAGCGTCAAAAATGAAATTATGTAAAACAAAAATTTGGCAAGGCGCGCGCTATCAAAGAAGAACGGTCACGCCCCATACAAAAAAAACCCAGACCCGACAGAAACGAGACATACCTCAGTTTTTTTGTCATGTCTTAATTAGTTAAATTATATATTTTTTATATTCGAAATCTATGTACAACACCAAAATATTACCCTTTGTTTTTGTTCAGGCGTTATACAAAAACTAATACAAAATGCCTAATTATCACCAAAATTGGTAAATGTATGTACCTAAATGTCTATTACAGCTGCTATGGAATGTATCTAGGTAACCTGGAGATACAGCCGG